TAACCTTTTGTCCATACATCTTTACTCGCAACTGTTGAGTGGTCTGCGGGTTCAAGGCCTCTGGTTTCTGCTACACTGCTGATGCTGGGTCCTCACTCGACTCCTCTTGGTTGTCCTGCTGTTGTCCTGAGTTGTGAAAATCCTGCAGCTTTGGGTCTGCAGGACCAGTCCCTTCACCTGCTCCAGCATATCACAGAGGGGGTGGACACTGGGGAGGGCCAACTCATAACTCTGGTTCTGGGCCTGGGTAGTTGCAGGGTTATAAACCCAAGTCTTAAGTGCTTTCAACACTAGATTTCTCCTGAGCACAGCCCTCACCTGCTTCTGTTTCTCTTTTCAGATCCAGATTCAGAGGCCTGAGATAGTCATGACATCATTGTAAACAATGACACAAAAGCAGTTTCACGTGGACCCTTGGAGCTGAGGAATGAGGAGGGCCCCATGGTGAAACAGTCCCTCCATTGAGAACTCCCCATGGGGACTTACTGGAAAACAGACCCTGTAGTTAGCAAGAATGAAATCCAGAGAGACAGCAGTGCTGGAAGCTCAAAGTATGGAAACTGCAGCGGGCGTGTCATGACGGCAGGCCATGCCTCCCGGAACCCCATGTCCAGAGACGTTCTTCTAGCCCTTAGTCTGATTCAGCACCAAGGACAGTGCCACACCCCCATTGCTAATGATTGCTTTGACATTGGACTGCATTTTACCATCTGCAAAACACTCTTCTAAGAAAGATTGTGTCCTAATTCCATAGAAAATACTGTTTTTAATATAGACCATCTGTCTTCACAAGGTCATGCTTAATTTTGAGTTTCATTCTGAGATTGATTATGATTAAAGCTTTTATTTTAGTGCATTCTAATTTTTTCCTTGTAAATACAATTATATGTTTATTTTTTCACGGTTGATTTTGTTTTTAATTGGGTGTATGTGTGTATCTGTGTGTATGTGAACATGAGTGCAATTGCCAGTGATGGCCAGAAGAGGGCATCAGATCCTCTGGGCTGGAGTAACAGGCTATTGTGAGTCTTTATCTGGTACTGAGAAATGAATTCAAGTTCCTCTGTAAGAGAAGTCACACTCTTAACAGTCTCTCTATCTCCCATATATGCTTATAATAACTAAAAGCAACCAAAGAAAATTGGTTGCAAGTTCTACAGATTCTAGAACTTTCTCTACTTGCCGCATTATACTGGCTCCTGGGCGTCATCTGCTGGGCTCTCTGTCCTCCTCTTCCCTCCAGGATATAATTCACCCCTCAGTACTAGGAGAGACAATATCTCCCCCTCGCTTTCCCCAGCATCGTTTGCTGATCTCTGGGGAATGTCACGAGGCAGGATCTCATCTGTTCACACTCAGGAGGCAGAAAGAGAATCAAGCTCTTCGGGGCTGGAGAGACGGCTCAGGGAATAAGAACAGCTTTTGGGCAAGCATGAAGACCTGCGTTCAAATCCCCAGAAGCCAGGTTAAGAGGCAGAAAACTGGTGAGATGGTTCAATGGGTAGAAGTACTTTCTGTCAAGCCAGACCTGCTGGAAGAGAGAATCAACTCCAGCAGACTGTCCTCCGATCTTCACGTATGCATTGTGACTCGTGTGTGCACATACTTGCATACATAAACATTCACAAAAGAAGTAATTAAAATGTACTAAATGCTTTTAAAAGCTGTGATTGTCAGGTGTGGTGGTTCACAACTTTAATACTAGCTCTCGGGAGGCAGAGACAGGCGGATCTCTGTGAGTTCAAGGCCAGCCTGATCGACAGAGCAAGTTCCAGGACAGCCAAAGCCACATGATGCGACCCTGTCTCAAAAAAATAAAAATAAAAAAACAAAAAAGCTGTGCATGAGTGATTACTCACACGGTTGGGTCTGTAATTCCAGCTCCAGCCTCGCTGCAGATTCAGTGTCCCATCTGAAGGAAATCAAGCAGATAGTGAACGAACAGGACACCTGACTTTCTCCTCTGGTCTCCATGTGTCACACACACACAGGCACACACAAACACAAGCACACACACAGGCACACATACAGGCACACATGCACTATATACACACAAACACACACACATTCTACATACATACAATAATAATAAATTTTAAAAAAACCCAAGTCCTCTGCTTTCCCCTAGGACAAAGTTTCTTCATTTCTTTGCAGAGTTCCTAAGAGGTGAGCATCCTAGGCTCTGTTTGCAGCTCCAGCTCTCCCATCAACTCTGGGAAAATCATGTGAACATTTGGACCCAGTCCAACCTTCTACCGAACAAGAACTAGATCATGCCTCAGGCCCACTTTGCTGCTACAAGTCTGAACATTTTGGAGCTGTCTTATTTTACATGTGTTTGTGTGTGTGCAGTGGAGCACACACGGGCGCATCGTACCACACAAGTGAGGAGGTCAGAGGGCAGCTTGAGGGAGTTGGTTCTCTACTTCCACCATGTGGGCCTGGGGATTGAACTCGGGTTGTCAGGCTTGGCAGCAAGCACCTTTATCTACTGAGACATCTTTGCTGGCCTGTTGGGTATAAGTTTTCAATTTCATTCTTTTCTTCTTTGTAAGCATGTGTGTGTGCCTCTGTGTGTGTGTGTGTGCGTGTGTGTGTGTGTGTGTGCGCACACACACACATGCATGCCACAGAGAACACGAGGACAACCTCCTGTGTCCTCTGACTTTCTTTCCACCTGGCTTGAGACAAGGTGCCTTCTTGTTCACTGCTGCCTACACCAGACTAGCTGGGCCACCGCTGTCCGGGCATCCTTCCACCGCTGACTCCCGGGTCACCATAGGGACACTGGGGTTACAGGTGCACGCTACCGGCCCATCTATACATGATTCCGTGGATCCTATTCAAGCCTTCCCACTTGCCCATGGAGACCTCCCTCCAACTCTTGGGGATGGTTTTGTTTTTATTTTCTTTATTCTTAATTTTATGTGCATTGGTGTTTTGCCTGCATATGTGTCTGTGTGAGGGTATCGGGTCCCCTGGAACTGGAGTTACAGACAGTTATGCGCTGCCATGTGAGTGCTGGGAATTGAACCCAGGACCTCTGGAAGAACAACCAGTGCTCTTAACCACTGAGCCATCTCTCCAGGCCCCTTATTTGTTTGTGTGTTTGTTTGTTTGTTTGTTTTTGAGACAGTCTCACTATGTAGCCCTGGTGGGCCTGGAACTGCTGGGGAGAGCAGGCTGGCCCTAACTGACAGAAATCCACCTGCCCGCTAAGTGCTGGGGTTAAAGGTGTGGCCCGGCGAGAAAGGGACTGACATTTCCCAAGCTTCCCATCCGTAAGGCCTCCCACTTCAAGCCACCATACAGCCTAAATCTAAGGCAGAGCCTGGACTCTTCTGCCCCCTTGTGGGTATTCTGAGCATCTGCAGGCACTGGTCAGTTTCTGAACCATTTCCTTAGAAAATCTGTAGCCTACCCTTGGTTCATTTTTTCATTTACCCTGAAAATCTTCAGCTCGCTGAATCTAGATGTCTTCACTTTAAGAATTGCCTCTCAGAATGGCGAGATGGACCAACTGGAAAGGCACGTGCTGCACAGCCTGACGGCTTGAGTTTGAATCCTGGGATCCACAGGGTAGGGGAGAACCAACTCCTGCAAGTTGTCTTTGGCTTTGCTGGCAATGGCAGGTGAGTGTGAGAGTGCATGCATATGAATATGAGCGCGCACACACACACACACACACACACACACACACACACACACACACACGGCCACATGCACACACATGCACATAAATAAAACAAGTAATTTTTTATTTGTTTTTTTTTTTATTTTCTATAAGACAGGGTTTCTCTGTGGCTTTGGAGGCTGTCCCAGAACTTGCTCTGTAGACCAGGCTGGCCTCGAACTCATAAAGATCTGCCTGCCTCTGCCTTCCAAGTACTGGGACTAAAGGCATGCATCACCACCACCTGGCTGAGACACGTTCTCTTGTAGGACAGGCTGGTCTCCCACTTGAGATGTAGTTGAGGATAACCTTGAACTTCTGGTTCTCCTGCCTCTGCCTCCCGAGTTCTGAGATTCCAGGCATGGAGCACTGTACCAAAAGGAGGATTTCACAGGGATGTGGACTCTGTCTCCCAATACCCATGTCAGAGCCATTTCCTGCTTGCTCCCATCTGTTCAGTCAAGCGGCCACGGCCCCCAGAAAGCAGACACTGGCCACTGGGTAAGTGAGCAAAGGTCACTTCTTCCGCCAAACCCTGTTGTTTCTCTTGTAAAAATGGAGTGACCAGAACAGGCATGAGGGCTTGGTGGGTAAAGGCACACGTCAAATCTGACAACCTGAGGTTCAATTCCTGAGACCCACACGGTAGGAGAGAACATCTGACTCCTGTAAGCTGCCGTTTGACCTCCACACACGCACCAAGATATGTGCACAAAAATAGTCATTGATTAATTCAATGTGAAAAATGGAGTGACCAGTATCTCATAAATGAGGGCATTGGAGGCAAAGACCAGTGATTTGCCCACAGTACTAAAGGGATAATATAAGGAGACTTGGCAGGCTGAGCAAGAGGATCTAAATTTAAGAACCACTTGGGTGTCATAGTGGGATCCTGTCCCTGAGAATTAAACAACAACAGTGGCAAACAGATAGGCTTGTACTAAAATAGGGTGAATCCCTAGTTTAAAAGGTATTCTTACCAAATGGGGGTGTTTGGACACAAAGACACGCATGGTAAGGGGTGCCAGCTAAGAATGGGGAGACGTGATAAGGGGAAGGTGGTGAGTCTACAAGCCAAGGACACAAGAAGTGGCCGGAAAGATGAAGTGGAGATTGCTTATGTAGGTGTTTGTTTGTTTGTTTGTGTTTTTCCCCTGTACTGGGGATTGAAACCAGGGTCTCGAACGCTGAGCATGTTAACCACCAAGACAAACCCGCGTGTCTTCACTGGGGATTCTAGGAAAGCACTTTACAATGGAGCCACACCCCAGCCCCTCACTGGGGGATTCTAGGCAGGGGCTCTACCACTGAGCCACACCCCCCAGGCCCTCACTGGGGGATTCTAGGCAGGGGCTCTACCACTGAACCCCACCCCAGCCCCTCACTGGGGGATTCTAGGCAGGGGACTGGGGGATTCTAGG